CGTAGATTGTTTCAAAATATTGTTAGGAACATTTCCTCCGAAGACAACATACTTGTAAAATGCATTATTTCAACCTTTTTTTTCGTAACACTGAACTTCGGCAGGACTTCGCTGAACTTCAGCAGGAGTTCCCTGAACTTTGATAGGCCTTACCTGAACTAGGGTAGGACTTCCTTGCACACTTAGAAATTATCGCCGACTTCGGTAATTTTTACAGAAATCTGAACAGCTGAACTTTTCGGTAAAATTTATGCAATTCAATTCAATTGCTTTTCAGCTACTTTGAAACTAAATCTCCACTAAAATGACAAGATTTGATAATTTAAACAAGGTTGAACATGTTTTGATATTATTTTCAAACTCAATAGCCTTTAGCATGAAGGTCAAAGTTTTACCGAACATTCAGCTGTTCTGATTTCGGTAAAATTTACCGAATACGGAAACAAAATCTTAGTGTGTGAGGTTCGGCAGGCCTTTCCTGAACTTCGGCATGAGTTCCCTGAACTTCATCAAGACTTCCCTGATTTCCAAGAATTGAAATGAAAGGACTTCCCTGAACTTCAGCAGCACTTCCCTGAACTTCGGTAGAACTTCCCTGAAGTTCGGCAAAACTTCTCTGAACATTGGCAGGTCTTCCCTGAACTTCAGCAGGACTTCCCTGAACTTCGGTAGAACTTCTATGAAATTCGGCAGTAGTTCTCTGAACATTGGTAGGACTTCCCTATAGTTCGGAAAAACTTCCTTGAACATCGGCAGAACTTCCCTGAACTTCAACAGAACTTCTCTGAATTTCCGCAGAACTTCTCTGAACTTCAGCAAGACTTCCCTGAACTTCGGCAAGGCTCCCTGAACTTCGGAAGAACTACCCTGAACTTGGAATCTTGGAATTGAAGTTGTCATTTCAGTAGTAGAATTATTATTTTACAATAATATTGTGTTCACGAATATGTTCAAAATTTCAATACTTCCCATTTTTCTAATTTGCCATGCTTGTTGGTTTTGGTGCATTTCGAATTTGGGTGTGGTTGAAACGGGTGTGGATTCAGTATCAACGGAAAAGCATTAACTTTCACCGGAACATTATTTTATTTCAGGGAAGCTCATTTTTGATCGGGAACCTCTATATAATTTCCGGCCATTTTTTTTGAAGCCTTTTGAATTTCTTTCGTGGAACTTCGCGGAAAATCATCGAGAAACGTAGAAGTATAACAAACAATGTAGAAGTTTTGCGAATTTTGCAAAAGTTTTGCATAAAACTTCTTATAAGTGTAAGGAATTTTGAAAAAGTTCAGGGAATTTTGTAGAAAATCTAAAGATAGTTCAATAAACTTCTAGGAACTTTGGGGATCCTTACTTCAGTATAGGGAACTTCGTTGCAGATTATCAGAGATCTGAATTCGAAAAAGCCTAATGAACTTCTTGGAGAGTTTTGAACACTTCGTTCAATTTCAATGAACTTTCCAGATGTTCAAGAATATTTGTAGATGTCTTAGGTTTCTTTCCAGAAGTGCAAAGATTTTCAGAGATCTTCGTAGAATTAAGAGAGATTGAAAAAATATGGAATTTGGAATAAGTTCAGGGAACTTCGTAGAAGTTGAGGAAATTTAGTAAAATTTAAGGGAGTTAAGTTACAGGATATTCTTTCAGACATCCTTCCTAGACAGCAGGAAATATTCAAAAGATCTCCATATAGATATTAGTGAAGTTCTCTGGATATTTTTCCAAGACTTCAGGTTGATCAAGTTCTGAGGATCTCCAACTGTTTAAAATTTTTATGCTCTTTAAAGACTGTAGGTTGTTCAGGAAGTACCGTAATCCGGAGGAAAATTGATACCGGGGTGAAATTGATCATAATGCGTTACATTTTTAATTGTCACGTATAACATGGTCGGTGATATCAAGAGATATATTAAAGGTATAGCATCGTGAGACTCCGCGGAACAGACAAAACTCGGGTTTCCGAAGGAAGAAGCGTCAGCAGGAAGATCGAGATCGCAAGATGATGGAAAATCTGTACCGCGTAAACGACACACGGAAGTTCTATGAGAAGCTAAATAGTTCGAGCAAAGGCTACGTGCCGTAAGCCGATATGTGCAAGGACTTGGACGGTCACCTTCTCACGAACGAGTGTGAGGTGATTGAGAGGTGGAAGCAGTACTATGACGAGCACCTCAGCGGTGAAGCAGCAGAAAACGAAGGTGGCACGGCAACAGACCTTGGAGCACGCGCAGAAGACGACAAGCTACCGGCCCCTGATATTCAAGAAGTTGAGGAGGAGATCGGTCGGCTGAAGAACAACAAAGCAACTTGTGTAGATCAACGACCAAGTGAGCTATCAAAATACGGTGGTGAAGCACTGGCTAGAGCGCTGCACTGGGTAATTGCCAAGATTTGGGAGGAGGAGATATTACCGGAGGAGTGGATGGAAGGTTTCGTATGCCCAATCTACACAAAGGGCGACAAGTTGGATTGCTGCAACTAGCGCGCGATCACACTGCTGAGCGCCGCCTACAAGGTACTCTCCCAAATTCTATGCCACGATTCGGCAGGTTCTGCAGAAATGCCGCGAATACAACGTGCCCACACATCATTTGTTCATCGATTTCAAATCCGCATACGACACAATCGATCGAGATCAGCTATGGCAGATTGTGCACGAGTACGGATTTCCGGATAAACTGACGTGATTGGCCAAAGCGACGATGGATCGAGTGATGTGCGTTGTTCGAGTATCGGGGACACTCTCGAGTCCCTTTGAATCTCGAAGGGGGTTACGGCAAGGTGATGGACTTTCGTGTCTGCTGTTTAACATCGCGTTAGAAGGTGTGATCAGAAGAGCTGGGATAGACACGAGTGGCACGATATTCAGGAAGTCCATCCGGCTCCTTGGCTTCGCCGATGACATTGACATTATGGCACGGAACTTTGAGATGATGGCGGAAACGTACATCAGACTGAAGGCTGAAGCTAGGCGGATTGGACTTGCCATCAACGCATCAAAGACAAAATACATGAAAGGAAGAGGTTCTAGGGAAGACAATGTTAGCCTCCCACCCCGAGTTCAGATTGACGGTGACGAAATCGAGGTGGTCGATGAGTTCGTGTAATTGGGCTCACTGGTGACAGCCTAAAATGATACCAGCAGAGAAATTCAAAGACGCGTTATGGCAGGAAATCGAGCGTACTTTGGACTCTGGAGGACGCTCCGGTCGAATAAAATTCGCCGCCGCACGAAGTTGACTGTCTACAAGACCGGTGGTCCTTTACGGCCACAAGACCTGGACTATGCTCGTGGAGGACCAACGCGCCCTTGGTGTTTTCGAACGGAAGGTGTTGTGTTGCGTACCATCTACGGTGGAGTGTAGATGAACCACGAATTGCACCAGCTGCTGGGAGAACCATCCATCGTCCATTTTGCAAAAATTGGGCGACTACGGTGAGCTGGGCACGTCGTAAGAATGCCGCACGACGTCCCAGTGAAAATGGTTCTAGAAAGCGACCCAATAGGAACAAAAAGAAGAGGCGCGCAGCGTGCAAGGTGTATCGACCAAGTAGAAGACGACCTGCGGACCCTTCGCAGACTACGAGGCTGGCGAGCTGTGGCCATGGATCGAGTAGAGTGGAGACGACTTCTTCGGACAGCAGAGGACAACAAGGTCTTAGCCTGATTGGTAAGGTAAGTATCGTGAGACTCCAATGATTGCCTTGATGTGTTTCCCTAACAAAAAGAAAAATTTATTGCATGAATTTCAATTTTATAGATCTAACGTTAAGTAGCATACAATATCAACACCCAAACAAACGATCATAGGACTGCAACGATTGATGTCATTACCATTCAAGTATCATGTTTTACTAAACTAAGTGTCAATGAATCCGAATTATTTTAAAAATTGCCGTAGAGTGTTTCAAATATCAAGAAATACAGAGTTTATCGCAAAATTACCAGTGATTTTGAATGAAATTGCCTACATTTAGGCACAACTGTGCATCTTTTTTGACGTTTTTTAATTTAGTTTATTGTAGAAATTTATTTATTTACGTTAAATAGCGATCAATTATCCCCGTTTTATGGTATTCAAAAGTGTTCCAGCTAATTGAATCTGATGGAATCTTGATTTTATGGACATGTTTGTACATTCTCTATAGGGAAGACCCGTGCCTTGGAGCTATATTGTCAAGAATTAGCACTCTAGCGGAACATACATTTTAACGAAGAGTGGAAATTTCTACATGTATCTAATATGTATAAATTTCTTTCTTTTCGATGAAATGCATGCCCGGAGTTCAGCTGCAGGATAGTTTAAATGCCTTAGCACATAAAAAAAATACGTGCTTTTTGAAAAATCTCGTGTAAATAATTAATTGGTTCCAAATGGGTTTAAACAAAACTAACATAATTTTAAATAAAAAAAAAATCCCAATCCCCCCTCACCATCCCTCTCCAACGGGGGAGTTTGGTAAAGAGAGATGATCAAACCGATTTGTACCTTCAAAATTTTTAAATTTTAAATAGTTTGTTGATTTTCCTGATGCATCAACAAATTTCCGATATTTTGCCACCTCGTCAATTCAAATTCGACAGAATTGATATATGACTCATAATTATTAAAAAAAAATCATCATGGTACGAATCCATAATTTATTTGATGGAAAAGAGTTTCTATTTACTAATCGAACAAACATTCAAAAATGTTAAGCAAATGACAACACGCTTTATCTGTACCTCCCTAGCCTGTGCTCACATTACGGATCTGTCATTATCCATTGTCATCGCTCCATAGTGGTTGATTGCCACACATTGACGCAAACTTTACTCACTGACTAGTGTGACCTCGAAAGCTCGCTTATGTCATGATTAATGATGATTCATTTATTCATACAGTCAGTCAACGACGAATGGTTACTGCATATCTCCCTTTCGTTTGCGTCCACCCGTCCATTGACAATAAAAAGGTCTGCGTCCGTGTCCGTATATTTTAATTGCTAAATAAACTTACCTAGTTCCTGGTCCGGTCATGTCTGGACAGCCGGATGTGGTGCAGAATTCGCTGATTGTTCCGTATACTAGGTTCACGTGCTCGAAAAGCGCTAACGCTGTTGAAAGAAGAGACAGAGAGAGAAAGAGGAAACGTCAAAGTTAATATGAGAATTTAACAATTAAAATTAGCCGAAGGGCACAAACTGTCACACTGCATCATCCATTCAATTCAACTAAATCTGACAAATGATTCCATCCCACGGGTAATTGAATTCTTTTTATCCATTTCCAACGACCCGAGTAATTACCGACAGACAAAATACACACGGAACGGGTGACACCTCACTCAACTCACAGTGCGATGACACTCCCTGCTGACCTGTCAGATTTTCCGTTAAAACGTGCATGGCAGGTTAAAACAAATCCCTTCACATCCATCTCAATCACGAAACGACTGACTACGACGACGACCGGTGAAATGCCGGTGACAGATGGAGCTGCGGTAAAACAAAAACAGTCGCGAGTTTTTTTTCGCAATGCGTGCCCAACCTAAAAATACTGTCCTCAGACGACGATGGCGTACGTGATCAATCATCCATGTTTCAATTTTTGCACATTAGCGAGCAGAAAAAAACCTGAGCTCTCACTCATGGTGAACATTCAAGAATTTTTCGCGAAAGATGCTAACCCTCAGCTGTCAAATTGAATTTCATATGTTTGAGTTTGGAAATTGTTACGCCTGCTGGGAAGACCGATAAGCACATTAGTCAGTTCGGCGGTTGTGATGTCATTTTGAACATAAACAAAAGCCCAACGGTGTCACATTGACAAACGACATGACCTACCTAACTTTGGATCTAGTGATAGCGAAAACAAAAACTGTCATTTTCATCTTCAATGAGTGAGATTTAGCGGCACTGCCATTTAGGGATCACTAAAATGCGTCAATTTTCGTGTTTCGACACAAACAAAAGTGATTCAAGGCACGTGCCTCTTTCGGTTTAAATTTTTCTTCGAATGACCTGTTTCGGGCGACTAAATTGTTTCTGAACTGCTAAAAGCCGGCACTCAAAGAAAAGACACATCATTCATTTTTCAACAGCCACCTTTTAGCAGGTTTTATTTTTTCACCCAACATTTAGGTCAAAACAGTGTTCCATCCCCTTCAATTGCGCACTCACAACACAAATGCCACTACTGAACACTGAACATTAATAAATACGAGAAATAAATTCAACATCAGGAGAAAACAAAACGCACATGTGCCCTCTGCGCGGGATGGGGTAAGGCGTGTTGTTAAAAGTTATTGCTGCAGCTCAGCAGCTGAGCAGCTGATTGAACTGGAAATAATTGAACCTGTTACTTTCACTGCGACCGACGACGGCGGGGCAATTTGTGATCGCCGCAAAAAAAAAACAACTACAACAACAACAAACAAGAGACCTGTCATTAAACGCAAACCGTAAACACTTTTCCACCGAAGGTGCATTGTTTGCCTCGTGAAATTAATTGCTAAGGTTGTTGATTGTGCTTGTTTCGAATGTAAATATTTAACAATTAGGCGAGCGATTACTGACTGGTATTTTTAAAGGAGTTGACATGATGGGTGTCACCGATATTGATCGAAGGTAAACTGCTCGATTGAAAGCAAAGTGCCCGTGAATTTACTTTTGGATTTTTGTGAACAAAGTGAGGGTGATTTTACAGTTTGTTTCCTAGACAGGCGACAGGCATGTGTAGCAAAGTTGTTTCTGTGATATATGTACATACATATAGGGTTAAGATCTAATTTCTGTCCACCCAGTCATTACAGCCCGCACTCAACCTCTATTTTTCGAATGGGTTTGAAGATAAATTGGAATGTTTTGATGGTTGGATTTGATAAAGATAGTTCTTTCATAAACTTCAGGAAAGTTCCGAGCAGTGCCGTATTAGCGGTAGGGCGATGGTGGGCTACAGTCAGGGCCCCCACTTTGGAAGGGGCCCCGGCTCAGAGGCATCAATGATTTTTTTTCCTTTATTAGAGACGCTTTTAGCCGTGGGCTGGGCATCAATCATATCCTTTTTAATAATTTTCTAGAAATTAATCGTCGGTTAGTTTTGCATTTGTATCGAACACTAAAGCTTTGAAAACATACAAGTTGATAACATGAAAAGACAAATAAAAACTCTCACATATACTGTCAGATTACAGAAGAACATTAGGGCAGTTAAGCCGGTAGCGTGTCCAAAATCTCTAGCGTCGTGGGCATATTTCCTACAGATTTACAAAGATTAAGAAAAGGACCAACTTTTGACGGTTTCTGTTTTCTTAGTTTTTGTTCTCACTTCATTCCATCTTTTAAATTAATCATATCTTCTGGCCATTTTCTACAGAGATGGCGCTGTTCCGCTGGTAGGAAGTGATAAAATCCCCATATAGAATTTAAGAGAAGTGGGAATAATTCGCTTTCGGTGCATATTCAGGTCAAAAAAGTAGAAGGGTCTGTGCCTAGGGGCACGAACGGAAGCTTGACGTAGGACCGCTAGTAGACGGAATAAATGTGAAGAGCATTTAGTTCTTTTAATTGATTATTTTGTCAAGCTTCTGCATTCATGTTCCATCAGATGTCACAGCTGTTGTTTGCGGTGACATCTATCGGAAACTAGACATAATCTGTTTTCCTATAATTGTTCACAGAGGACACTGCAGTGCAAAACATTTCTGGTACCTCTATATATGCATTTAGATTAATATTCGAAGTCCCTCCTTTTTTACACATTCTGCACACAAAATAGCTCACCCCTCACAGAATTTCCCGCCGAATTTTATGTATGGGGGGGGGGGGGGGTGCATAAAGTATCTTTTGCGCAGAATATGTAAAAAAGGAGGGACTTCAAATGTTAAAGCAAATGCATATATAGAGGTACCAGACATGTTTTGTAGTGTCAGGTACTCTATTTTGTAATCTGTGAAAGGGAAATAACAAATCGAATGTCAACAAAATACATGGCATGTTGAGAGATTGAGCTCGTGAGAGAGAATTTCTCTCTCAAATTTGATTTTTTTTTGGCTCTCTGGTGACTGGAAGTAAAGCAGGTAAAATTGTATGGGGAAAAATCATTTTTATTTAATTGTAGCTTGTTTAACAATAATTTCCGGGAAAAAACTGAACGACAAAGTCCCTGATTAATTTCTTTAGGTTGTCGTTCACTTTTTTTTCACCTGAATATGCACCGAAAGCGAATTATTCCCACTTCTCTCAATTTCTATATGGGGATTTCTATCACTTCCTACCAGCGGAACAGCGCCATCTCTGTGGAAAATGGTCGAACAAAATGATTAATTGATCAATTATCTATCATCTCAACTCTTTCCGTGTTTGAATTGTAGGCGTACCAAATTCGTAGTATTTTTTTTTCAAATAGAAAGTTGATTAAGAGAATCAATCAAAATCACTTGCACCCCTGCTTCCAAGTTTGGTTACAAGATTACAACTCAAGCATGTTGTGTGTTCGTTGGGGGCTTGTGGTTCTGAACATGGACAAACAAGCACTGATAAATTCTATTCCAACTCTTTAGTGATGTAAACTTGATGGCCCTGAAAAGGGCCGTTTTATTGAAGAGGACATCCATGGCCACTTACGCTTGGCGTGTTTAGTGTAGGTGACAGCATCACAGACCTCATTTTCCAGGAACACCTTCAGCACACCTCGTAGATCAGACCGGAGATACGTTTGACACCACCACGGCGAGCCAGACGACGGATGGCGGTTATCTCGAAGAACTTTGCGATGACGCTTGGCGCCTCATTTACCAGACCTTTTCCTCCTTTGCCACGACCAGTCAATTGTTGCTTGTTAGGTGTGAAGGAGTGGACTAGCCACCACCTTCCTACTGCTGCTATTGCTGTTCACCACGCCGTCCGGAGCAAAAATGAGCTAATGCCTTTTTTTAATTTTAAATGATTTTTATTTCTTGTATTTGTGTGGTTTACATGTATTACTTATCAAGTGACACAGATGCATCTTTTCAACTTTAGTACATTTGAAGATTTAATTAGTTCTATCAGGCCTGTTTTAAAGTATTACCACCTTAGTGGGATTGGTTTGTTTTGAATTCAAAAAAGGAGACTACTTATAACTACTATTTACAACTACAACTAACCTATAACTACTATATACACCTAACCTACTATATACAAATTGCTTATCAAAGCAAGTTCTGATGCATTACATTTTTGTGCAAATTTAGTCTTAAGTGCCTCTTCGTGTAAATTTGTTATTCTAGTGTCGAAAGGACGATCAAGTACCATCCTCAGCACTCTATTCTGAGCGACCTGGATTTTGTTCCTGAGAGTCTGTGCACATGATTCCCACACCTGAGCTGCGTAGAAGATGGCAGGTGCTATAATTTGTTTGTAGACAGCCAGTATGTTCCCCTTTGAGAGGCTGAATCTGTAGCAAATCAGCGGATACAGACACCTAACCAATGCGGAACACTTGACTACGGTTTTCTCCACATGCAAGCGGAATAGCAGCTTTTCGTCAAACAACATCCCGAGATAGGTTACTTCGGCAGACCACTCAACCCTTGTGCCGTCCATGATTACAGTACAAGATGGAGCCGGTTTCAGTTTCGGCGATTGCCGATGGAGGAACATGATCGCTTGTGTTTTGGAGGCATTGATTTTGACTTTCCACGTGGTGGCGTAATCAGCAAAGGCGTCAAGGCATCGTTGGAGCTTGTATGTTATTTCGCGAGGCATCCTACCCTTGACGGTTATTGCGGTATCATCTGCGAACAGGAAGAACACGCAACCGTCTCCGAGGGGAGGAATGTCAGAAGTGTAGATGCTGTAAAGCAAAGGGCTCAACAGACTTCCTTACGGAACACCTGCTGGGATGGAGAACGTGTTTGAAAGGCAGCCATTCAACGATACCCTGAACGAACTTTGCTGAAGGTAGTTACGAGTGATTTGAACAAGATGCTAAGGAAAGTTGAAGTTACAAAGCTTGGATGTGGACTTGGATACAGCCTTGTTACTTCGGATGTTATTCATCACCCGTACTAGCTGATGATTTGTGGAGTGCCCCTTCCTGAACCCGAACTGTTCCGGTAGGAGATGATTGAGAA